ACCCCCTACATACCTATAGGCACAAAATCGTGGTTTCTTTCTTCCCTTTACATAAGAACATTAATGTTGTTGTTTTTGCCCCTGGTGTCAACAGAACTAGCATGGAAGGTGGGTGGAGTATTGGGGTTTACTCTGCACAGAAATTCAGGAAAATTGTGTCTTTTTTTATTCCCAAAGTTTTTGGAAGTCCACTGGAGACCCCTAGTGTTTATATGATGAATAATCATATATTTGAAGGTTAAGAATAAAGTTATCTGTTCTAACATCTATGCTTTCAATAGTTAACATTCTTTTAATATGAGCCATAACATTTGCTTCTTTCTCTTTTGAGATGGAAAGTAGGACATGTTTCTGGAAAACCAGGAGAGACTGTAAACTGTTTTTTTAAAATACACTTTGTGAAATGGTTAAAAAATGACTTGGATATAAAATCTTAGTTGTGCCAGTTTCATGGAATAGCATTCCTTCCTCACCCCTCTGTAGAGCAGTACATCCCGATGTGAAATGATAAAGTCTGCAAGACAAAAATTAAGCACAGGGGAGTATAATTTATAGGCAAATATCCATTTAAGGAAGAAAAATTAATAAAATGATTCCAAGGTATTATGGCAATCACTTAAAAGAAGCTAAAGCAATTAGCATTTAAAGGGGTATCCAAATGGATTAATAAGTCTTTCTCTCTATCAGATATTAATGAAGATTTGTATGTATTCAGACATCTACAAGTCTCTGTTGCATAATAGCTCTCTCACACTCCCACATAGCTGACTTTCTTCATGAAGAGAAAATTCCCATTACCCATTTTTTATGTTGAAAAAGGGAGTTAGGCTAAGAGTGAGCACAGGAGGTGGGCTAAGCTGTGTTAAGCATTATGCTTCTGGTCAAGAACTGCAGGAAAACTACATGAAACAAAACATACAACTAATGTAGCCTGAAGGAACTCTCTCCTTTCCTTCCCAAACCAGAAAGGTCATATTGCTAAGTTGTAGGCTGCTGCCTATGTGTGTAATGGCAATGACTGCAGAGAAATCATTAAAGTACATCATTCAAAGGTGCTGGGCCTGCTTTGTGAAGACAAAGCTGGTTTTGCTGATGTTTTTTCTACTTCCTCTGCAACCCTCCCAGTGCTGTTGACCAGAGTCATTTCTCTTTGTGTATGGACTTGCTTTAGTCGTTATTTCTGAGCATGTGAACATCTTTAGTTTCAGAAATACCTCAAAGTTCTTGAAACATATAGTTATAAGGGGTGATCCTGTAAATGAATTATTTAAACTTGGCTTCTGCACTAAGCTTGCATAATGTTTGGCTTATAAGAGCATTACAACTGTGGTTGGGATAAACTGCCCCTTATCATTCACATTTCTGTCACCAGGCTGAAGTTAATCAGAACAATTTGTACTTTACAAATGGCTTTCTACATAATGAAACTCAATTAGAGTGATTAAAACAGAGTTGATAACCACAGGTTTTCTTCACTGACTGTGCTTGATATGCATTCTGTGCAGTTTGAAAGTAAGTGAAAATGTGGGGAGAGGAAAGAATTTTTTTTTTAAAAGCAGTTAAATTGCCTCTAATTAGCAACACACTGTAGTCAAAACATAATGTGAGGATAATAAATTGATATTTGCATAATGGAAATGCTACCAAAATGTACTTCAGATAAACTGGATTAGATTATAATTAAAGCTTCATGCTGCAAAATAAAATCCATCTAATTGACTACACAGAGTTAATACCAGTGATACAGAAACTAGAAACTGCAGAATAAGTCAAGGGTACACTCTGTAGGTCAGCCATGTAGTATGCAGACAGGGCAGTACAGGGTACACTTCATGAAAATCCTCAGTGAGGCATTGAGGTACAGTGTTCTGGATGCAAGGTACAACGTCCTAGATATCCTCAACATTGTCACAACCAAATTAAGTAGTGCCCATGTCACAAGCAAGTAAAACCATTCAAAGCAGTTTTGTTTTACACTAAATTAACTAAGGGTTAACAAAAGTTTTTGCCAGTAACCGCCTTTTTGCTGCGCATGTCAAAAAGAAATTTATTGCTGCGCCACTAACAGAGATAGAACTTAGCCTTCTGTGCTGTACATAAATCATTATAATTGGTCAAAGAAAACAAGGAGTAACCCTATGATAACACCCTGTCGAGAGCACCTCGGTGCTCTGCTCCTAGAGGGGAGAAACTGCCAGGGAGAGAGACAGAGCCCTGGCAGGTCATAACGAGCCCAGCTGAGTGTCGCCA